GAACTGTTTTGGGCAGTTTCATTTTATTTTATTGGAAGTTACTTTCATGGGGCAGATTTGGAGACTGTGTTTAAAATGACTTCAAGAAGTTTGTTTGCACTCTTAATTATTTCTAACTCCCCCTATGGAAAAATACAATAGTTTTCTGGCAGCTGAGGAGTTCTCATCCATAGACACTGAGCTTAGGTGACCTGAACAAATAAGTTTCAGGTATTGTAACTATCCAGTGATTAAAATAAATTTTAGAACACGAATAATTCAGATTTATTTTGTAAATTTCAAAAAACTTTGTCTCTTTGATATTACTGTAAAATGTTTGGTTTTGTGCAAGTGAAGAAAACTTTGGGATAGGTTTCAAGTGTCTTTTAGGACAGGAAGACTGGGTCTATTGAAGTTTGAAACTGTTTTGTAAATGCATACTTTTGCTGATAGAATATGGCAATGCTTTCTGTGTGGGCTTGTTAAGTGTGTGGTATGGGCACATGCTCTGAGAAAGAATTAAATGCAATTTCTTCCATGCATCCTTAGATTTATGTGTGTAGAAAGCCTCTTCCATTTGGGGGCACTGTCCATGCATAATGCTGAATGCTCAGTGTTAGAATTGGGGTTTGGTTTTTGTAAGGACCGCTGAGCCCTCTGTTCTGAAAACATTTTGGATGTGGCGGTAATTGAGGAGAGAAGACAGTTTGGTGCTCTTTTGGGAGCAGCAGCAGTTAGTTGTGTTCCATTCAAAATTTGAAGCAGATTACTGAGAACTAATAAATGGGAAATTTATAGATTGGTGCTTCAACAGAACCTGTTTTCAGAATAAAATTCTAGTGAAGAACAGAATGAAAGAATGATCGTGGGTGGAATAATTGGCTTTACAATCGGCTTGGTTTGAACAGTGCCCTGTTCTGCTGTGTGGCTTTAATGCCCTCTGGTTTTTATTTTCAAATATTTTGCTGGCGAATAAAAATGCTCTACAATTGTTTGCCTTATGGACTGTGCTTTAGCCTTTGTTTATAGGCTTTCTTAGACTATAATCTATAGACTTTCTAGTTTTCTTTATAGACTGTTCTGTAGATTGGTTTTAATAAGTTGCTTAATGCGTTATGGCGCTTTTCATTCTTAATTGACTTCAGTGTCCTTCAGAATCATTAGATTCGGTATGGTGGAGAAGCATTACGTAGCACTGCCTGGTTGAATCATGAGTATGTTATGAAGAAAGCAGAATGCGACTTTAAATCGTGCTTCTATGTGGCAGTGGGTATTCATAGAATCATAGAATGGCCTGGGTTGCAAAGGAGCACAGTGCTCATCCAGCTCCAACCCCTGCTGTGTGCAGGTCACCAACCAGCAGCCCAGGCTGCCCAGAGCCACATCCAGCCTGGCCTTGAATGCCTGCAGGGACGGGGCATCCACAGCCTCCTTGGGCAACCTGTGCCAGTGCCTCACCACCCTGTGTGTGGAAAAACTCCCCCTAATACCCAACCTAAACCTCTCCTGTCTCAGATTAAAACCATTCCACGTCGCGTACGATCACAAATTTCTCTTTTCACAGTTGTTTATCATCACGGAAACAGCGCAACTGGTGGCCATTACACTACGGACGTCTTCCAAATCGGGCTCAACGGCTGGTTACGCATCGATGACCAGGCAGTGAAGGTGATCAACCAGTACCAGGTGGTGAAGCCGTCTGCAGAACGCACAGCCTACCTCCTGTACTACCGCCGAGTTGACCTGCTGTGAAACTTCTCCCTCTATGCTGTGTGTGCAAGATACCTGCTTTGTAGAACGCCAACTATCACTAACTTTTTTTCCTTCTCCTGTAAATGCTCTTTTGAGTGAATCTCTTTTTTTCTTTTTTTTTTTTTTTCCCTTGCAACTATGGGATAGAGTGAAAAAGGAGGCTACCGTGGGTTTGTGCACAACGTAGTTTGTGTTGACTTTGACTTTTGCAAAGTGGAGTCGCTGGGTTGAAAGACTCGAGTCTCGTGAATGACAAAAATTAAAAAAAAAAAATTAAAAAAAAAAATTAAAAAAAAAATTAAAAAAAAAATCTGAATTAATGCTGAATCCTAAGATAATAAACAGGGGATTTGCATTTGATTCCCACTTTCTAATTGCGTAGTAGAAGAAAACGCTGCACCAGCAACAGAACTTGTAGATTTCTGTGAAAATGTTTTATCTTTACTTAATTAAAATTAAAAAAAATAAATAAAAATAATAATAAAAAAAGCAAAAATAAAAAAGTGCTCTCTGCTCCCCCAATAGTTTTTGATAAGTGGTAAAACATGAGCCAATGTGTATGAGATGGAGATGGTCCTGCGTGCTTCAAAAATGGACAAACGTACAAAATGCAGAGTTGCTGGTTCCTAATAGGAAGACACATTTTAATAATTGTGTGATGAGAAACTGCTTAAGTACACATTGCAGATCAAATATTTGGAGTTAAGATGTTAGTCTATATAGATGGGTGATTGTAACTTTATTGCTATTATGAAATTTCAAACTGCATTTATGCTTCTGTGTACATGAAATTTAAGAAAAAAAAAATGGGCAAAATAATTAAGATTGATATTTCTTTAAGTCTGCTTTGTTTAATTTTGCTGTCTGCTCTCCTATAATGTTGAGTTCCTAATTGTACACAGTTTAGTGATATCTAGAAGTATAAAGTTGTCGCCCATCAATAAAAGTCACAAAGTTGGTTTAAGGCGTGTGTTTGTGTGGGTTTTGTTTTTCCTCTGGTGTAAATTCTAGCCTTGAGCTCCTAAACGTTGCCTTGTGGCTCTTTTTACAGGGCACAGGTGATGTTGCTGCAATGAAGTGCAGGTGCTTTTTGTCTTTAACAGCTCCTTGGAACTTCAGGAGTTCCATTTGTTGGCATCCAGATGTAACCAACCTCGGGGAGGAGAGGCTGCAGCCCTTGGGGAGTGAATCCTCCCTGTGTCCTACATGAAGGGCTGACAGGATGCCAGCCTGAATGGTTCCATGTAAGGTGATGTAAGGCTTTTCAAGAGAAAGGAAGCAGCTCTGTAAGTGCCTTAGGTTGCAACACTTGTCTGTTGACATGGGCTTCCCCTTTGCGTTTTCTCCCAAGCAAAGCAAGAATTAGTCACCTTGCAAAAGACAGGAAGCTTATTCATGGCTGCTTCCTGAAAAAGAAAAGTGATGGTGAGTCCTGGGTGCATTTAAAATGCAGGGCTGTGCTGTTAACATGCGTAGCTCCTGCAGCAGGAACCAATGAGCTGTTGGGGCAGGGCAAGCCTAGCTGGCCTGTACAGGACTTTTCTATGCTGTTCTCTTGTAGGAACGACTGGTGCTGCTCAGTTGTACTGCAGAACTTCTATCTTTGTGCTGCCAGAAGATGGAGGCCATTGATCTGGTGTTCACCTGCATCTCCAGCAGGTTGTGAAATGGGCATTTCTGGTAATGTAGACTTGTTGTGCACCTCTTAGCATTGCAGCAACTGCTTCAGAGACACAGCAGCAGCAGCTTTGTGCAACAGTTCGTCTTGCAGTGCCATGGCACCATGAAAAATGAGGGTTTCATGCATCCTTCCAGCAGAAGGGGCAGGTGATTGCTAGTTGGTAGTGGGTCCTTGCAACAAAGGGTGATTTTGACCAGTGTCACCCAAAGCTTTGAGCTTGTGGGTCCGAATGCTGGATGCCCTGTAGCTTTTCTGTTCAGAAAAGACCCACATAGGCCCGTTTTCTAAGTTTGGAGCCAATAGAAAGGAACTGGAGCTCCCCTTAGGTGTTAAATAAATAAAAGGAATTGGAAATATGGAAGGAACAGAGAATGCTGGAAAAAAAAAACAACAAACCCAACAAAAAAAACCTGCCCAAGTGCAGTTTGCTCTCTCTGTGCATTTGGTTGTTACAGGCAGGTTGCAGGTGTTGTTAATTATGTGTGAGTAATGGCCAAGTGTAAAGGCAAGCATTGAAATCCTTGGTAAGGAATGGAGGTTGCTCAGATGGTATTAATTGTTGTGATTTTCGGTAAGGATATTACGAATGCACTTATTCTGCAGTGGATTACTCAAAAGGGGAAAAAGCAGTACGAGCCATGGGGCAAGTCTGATCAACACACACCACCACGGTTTCTTTTCCTTATTAAATCCTTCCAAACTTTGCAGCCCTCTAATTATTCGCTCTGTCTGCAGTTGTGTAAAAGAAGGAAAATCACCTCAAACTCCCCCAAGATGAAAATCTCATTGGCTGAGATGCTGTTAGAAAAATCTCACAGCACGAATCAGGGATGGTTTGATGGTTTGATGGGCTGGGGTGAGAAAGGCTTCCGATACCTGGAGCTCTTTGGGGGCAGGAGAACTTGTGCTTTTCATTTTTTCACTTACCTGAGAGATTGTAGCTTTTAATAATGAAAGCAATTGTGTTTCTTTTTCACTCACTGCCAAGCAGATCCCTTCCAATAGGGCTCTCCCATGTGTACATGTATGCAGACCACTGCAGAGGGCAGTGGTGGCACACCCAGATGGTTCCATGTGTGGATGACTCCGTGCATCTGACCGTAGCTCCTGTGGCATGCTGTGAGTGTTCTCAGGGTGTTCAGGGGTTCCTGTGTTACAATCCTTGGCTTTTATGGCCCCAGGGATGCGGGGAGAGTTTTAGCAAATGCACAGAGTGGGCTTGGTGGTTGTGGTTGCAATTCACCTATTCTGGGGTAGGATCTGTGAAGGTCAGAGTTTGGTTCATTCTTCTGAGCTGGTTTGGGCTGGAGAACTTTAGTGGTTGCTTTCTTTTGAAAGGAGAAGAAAGGGGGAAAATGGAAATAAAAAGAGGGGAGTAAGGGGAATAAATGGGAAAGAGAAGGAGGAAAAGTGGAGGGGGGAAAGGAGAAAAAAAAAAAGAGAGACAAGGATCAAAAAAAAAAAAAGGAAAGTATAGGGAAGAAAATGAGAGGGAAAGAAGGAAAAGGAGAGAAAAGGAGGGCAAACGGGTAACAAAAGAAAGAGAAAGGGGGGGAAGGGGGAAGGAAAAGAAAGCTGGCCCCCTACATTCTGCAGTCAACTTTTTGTGGCTTTTCTGCTTGTTTCTTCGTCTTGCTGACTGACGTTTTTGTTTGACCATTGGCCGTGTAGCACAGGGTTTGAAGATTCAAGTCTCGAGATGTTTTCTCTTATCCCTGCTTTGCTCCAGCTGTGTTATCTCACTGCACCCTTCAGTGCTGGAGCCAGATGTTGCAGGTCAGTGCCATGGCTTTGAGTCTATTCCCCATTCTTCGCTTTGCTGCAGTCCTGGTATTGCTGAGCTCGTATTGGAATAAGAAATAAAGGGGGATTTAGGTTGAAAACCAAGACGTGCTGTCTGCGTGTTCAATTAGGGGCGAATAGTGAAATCTGTGTTCCTCCCTATTCATTGGATATTGCATTAAAAGCTTCTTCTCCTAATATATACTTATGTACAGCCTGCTTTATGTGGCTTTTACCACACATGAAACCGAGACGTTATAATCAAGGCCGTAATAATGCTGAGTGACTGAAAGTAACTTCTGATTGTTTTGGCTTTGGTTGAATGTAGGACCCGAAAGTGCTGACTTGTAACAAAATGGGATGAATGAAAGCATCGTTTAAAGCTGTGCTCATACCTGAATGCTGCTGGGCATGGGGAGACTGCATGGGTGTATGGTGGAAAATACCCCAAACACCAAATATTTGCATGGCAGCGGGGCTGATGGAAAATTGACATAGGATGGGTGAGAACTGTGAAGGCCTCAAATTGGGTTGGGAGAGGTTTGTGTTGGATATTAGGAACAATTTCTTAGCCTGGAAGAGCGGTGATGCAGTGGTACAGCTGCCCAGGGAGCAATGGAGTCACTGTCCGTGCACGTGGGGATATGGCACTGAGGGACGTGGGCATGGTGGGGTGTGTTGGTGATAGCAGAGGTCTTTTCCAGCCTTCATGATTGTATGAATAATTTCCGATAGGAACGTTTGTGTAGATGACAAAAAACCGCATTCCTGAGAGAGCTGGAAATAATTTGTGTTGCTGCTATGTGAGAGGTTAAATGAGCAACTCAACTTTCTGGCAAGCACGGTGAGAAGCACCTCCAGAGGCCGTGAGTCAGCACTGCTGGAGCGGCAAGAGAGCAGCAGGAGGATGCAGAGATGTCAAAGCAAAGCCCTGTTTTGTCCTTAGAACGGCCCGCAGTTGGGACAGCATCTCAACCTTACGGGAGAGAGCTGCCCAAATGGCACCGAATCGCCTGTTGGGATTGATGGAGCGTGTGCTGTCGGTCCATAATTTGTGCTGAAATACTCTCAGTAAATACGTTTGTGAGAGCAAGCAGCAGGGGTCTGGTGTTGTACTGAGTGGGGACACTGGAATGTGTGTGAGCGATACGGTACTGACATGGTGAGTGGGCATGGTGGGGTGCGATTGGTGATCTCAGAAACCCTTTCCATCAGTGATTCTATGACCCAGCTGCACTGGGGGTAAAAAGCCACGACCCAGTGCTGAAGATCCCCAAGCAATGAGAATCTGCTGCTGCTTCTGCAGAAGTTCTTGGGACGACGGTGCATGAGATGAAATCAACAGCGGTGGCGTGGATGTGGCTTCATTTTGGGGGGCGTTCTGCTTTGCTCATGTGATAATGAGCAGCTTTGATAAACAACTGTGCTTAGTGGCAAAATCTTGGAAGCCCGTAAACTGTACATCAGATTGGCTGCTGTTTTGCATAAAGAAATAATTTGTTGTTTAGAAGAATGGAAGGATTCTCTATCCCCAAGAACCATGCAGGAAGGACTGGGTGCTGTCGTGGTAGCATCCCACCCCACTCTGCTGCACAGAGTGCTGTGATGCACTTATGTAATTACTCAGGGTACCACTTTGCTTTTCCTGTTTGTCTGATTAAAAGAAAAAAAAAGAAGAAGAAGAAAAAAATAAGATCTTTTGCTCAGTCATTTCCTTTCTCAGAGTATAAAACCACGTTTCAACAGTGCATGTGGGCTGACACCGCAGGGAAGGATCATGCTGGGAGGCTGATCTTGGACTGACTGGGCTCTTGGGGTGTCCTGCAGCAGAGGTGAGCTTGCACTGTGCTTTGCTTGCTCCTGCTGTTCCTGCTGACAGCTGCATTTGTGTGCAAGGAACGTCAGTGCTGGGTGAGCTCTGGAAACGGACCTCAGAGGGATAGAAATCTGCCTTTGCTCAGCGGATGCCCAATTGGGGAAGAAAAGGAGTGATGCTGCCTGGCTGGGGCATGGCTGGGCTTTTCCCATGGAGTGCTGGGAATTGCTGAGCCAGCAGCGAGAGGACGAAGCTGGCTTCTGTCCCATGCAAAAAAAAACCCTAATCTGGGTGTTGTTTTTTTTTTTTCCCTAAGCTCATCACCACTGAATACCCGTGGCAGAGAGCAGGGCTGGGCAGCAGCTCTGCCTGCAAGCTGCTTGAAGAGAGAATGAGCGTAACCTCGCTTATATGGGGCTGCTGCCTCCTCCTCCTCTCCTTGCTGGGTGTTGTGTTACAGCCTTTGGGAGGACGGTCCTAATTTTCCTCGCCCCAATGAGTGTCTTCCAACAGCGGTGCGATGCAAAGCGACACTCCTCTACTCCTGCCTCCTTTTTTTTCTATTTTTTTTTTCCCCTTCTGTTTTACAGGCCGATTGCCAAACGGGATGATCCAGAGTTGTGTCCTCTTTGCCTGGAGAGCATAAATACCACTGGGGAGCTCTGCGAGACCGCAGTTGGTGCTCGCTGCTGAGCCGAGACCTCGCGTCCCCACACCTCCCCGGGCTCCCTGCATCCTTTCCCTCTCCTCGCTGAAATATTGCAGCTATATAATTTATTTCCCAGCAGCAAGCTTGGAGGAGCGACTGCTTCCTAAGAAGTGCTCGACGAGGTGAGTTTGCATGCATCTGAATTGTGGTTTGGGGTGAGTGTTTGGATGCAAGGAGGGTCTCTATGCAGTCGAATTGGCACAGTGTGAGTAACTTCTCCATCAAGCCGTCTGAGTGTATGATTTGCAAAGGCTGATGAAGGACTGATGTGCATTTATCTCTAATGAATGGGAAGGGTTCGTGTGGAGGGGAAACTGACCAACATAAGGGATGATGAATTAATTGGCTGCCCATAGGCACATCCATTCTGTTCCAGGGAGCTGGAGATGGTGTGGCTCTGAAGTCCCATCTAGAAGGAATTTCACGGTGTTGTCACATGGTGTGTCTGTTTCTAGTGGGTTTTTCATGTGGTTTTGCATAGAATCTCAGCCACTGGGGCTGCATGGGAGTGGACTGCAGTGGCAGAGCCAGATGTTTCCATGTGGCCTTGAGGATGCTGAATCCAAGGATCTTGTCGTCCCCCTCTTTTGAAGCTGGGGTCATTCTGTAAAGCATTAAATGTGTGCATCTCAGTTCCTGCATGAAGTGCATTAGGAGTTGGATTTATGGGTCCCTTCCAACCCAGGTTATTCTATGATTCCATTGTGGCTTCCTCACTTGAATTTTTTGTACAGGGATCAGTTTGACCCCAGGCAGATCCCCCACTGCTTTGCTGCTTTTGGTGCTAGCCCTTGTGTTTCACTGCAGCATCAGCCTGTCCCACACATCACTCCCAGCTCTCGGGATGCTTTGACTGCATGTGTTTCCCATATGGAGGAGCAGAACCCACTTGTGTGCTCCCCAGGAGGCAGCTGAAGATCAATAGCTGTGTGAGGGTGAGGCAAGGACGTAATGAAAGGCAGAAGGCAGCACTCCTGCCAGCCCCCAGCTCCTCTGTTCCCTGTGACATGCAGCTCCAGCTCTGAGCTGGGGAAATAGCTTTCTATAAATACTCTTTTCCAAAGTCCAGTGCTGCTTTTTCACTTCCTCGGAGCCCAGCAGAAGCTCCTGCTGTCCCAGCTCGGATTTGCCTTGCAAAGTATTTGGGAGCTGCTTTCTGCCGACTCACCCATTTCTGAGCACTCCCAGATGTGTCCCTGGCACCAGCATCAGGAGCCTGGTGCAGTTAAAGGGAAGCATAACACTGCTCCTAAAACCTTGAAAATAACAGCAGAGCCTCGCTCAGCTGACTGTCAGCTGAACATTCTCCCCGAAAAATGTCAAATCTCATCCCAAAGGCAAAATATGCTTTTCATCTTCCCTAATGAGGAGTTCCTAGTGCAGACTGGAGCCTTTGCCCAGCGCTGGGCTGGCTGAGCTCTGACACATGGCCCAGTGTTTGGTTGCACCTGGGCATGAGGCTGTCGGAGTGGGGACGGGGGTGTGAGCAGATGGATGTCTGAACTCAATGAAATGTGAGCATCTCTCTGCTGCTTTCAGTTAACCTTTGGCACTGCGGCTCTTTCAGGTTGGATATTAGGAAAAAATTCTTTTCCAAACGAGTGGTTGGGCATTGGCACGGGCTGCCCGGGGTGTGGTGGAGTCACAGGCTCGGGGGGTGTTTCAGAACTGTGGAGATGTGGCACTGAGGGACAGTGGGCATGGGGGGGTGGGTTGGGATTGGACTTGGGGATCTTAGGGGTCTTTTCAAACCTTCATTCTTCCATGATTCTCTTTGCTCCCATCACCTCACCCTCCCCTTGGATGTTCCCTGCTCCTCACCTGCAGCCAAAGCACGGGAATTGTCTTGATCACCCAAAGTGAATAAGGCTGCTCAAATGACCCCTTTTTGGGAAGGTGCAAAGCAAGATGCAGGGAAGAACATCACCAGGAATAATGCACTGTTTGTTGCAAAGCTCCGGTCAAACCCAGCCATGTTGGCTCAGTCCTGGGGCTCTGCGATGGAGCAGCAGCTGGCTTTCCAGGCTGCCCTTTCTGTAAGTTCAGTGTTTGCCTTAGATGGGTGGTGGGTACGGGCTCCTGTTTAGCTGAGGGCACCCGGCCAAATGAAGGGGTACAGCAGCAGCATATGTTGGCTGCCTGTTCCCTCCTGCTCTACCTACAGGGCAGGCTGCAGGGAAAATCGCCGGTGCTAAATGGCTGCATTGTAAACGGTGGTGGCAGAGCATCTATTTTTAAACTCTTAGGGAAGTGCCTCAAAGTAGGAACTGTTGCTGGGATTTGGGTCAGACAGTCTAGCAAAGCGACGGCTCTGCTGCCCCGCTGTTAGAAAGTCGGGGGAAGGCAGCACTCGAGGCTGGGACAGGAATGAGCTTAAAGCTGGGGTTGCCCCCAGGCCACCAAACGTCCCAGTCTTTAGATGTGCCTGGGGACAAGGAGCATGTGTTGGGCTTGCTCTGCAGGAAACGGCAATCAGCTGTTACCTAAACTTAGTAAATATATTCCTATGTTGTTCTACCACGGCAAGGGCTTAATGCTCTGCCTGCAGACAGGCTGATAGAAGCTGGTTTTCATTCTGCCTGATTACAGAGACTTCTGCTCTTTGGTGAAGACATCCTGCATATTTTCAGGGCTTCTGGATGACTGTAGAGTTTCTCCACCTGAGCAAAGCTGCTCTGCTTTGTGGATGCTGTTGGTTGTGGGGAGGAGGGGATTTGGGACTGTATTCAGCCCCGTGTCACTGGGTTGAAGCTTTTCTGATAGATCCCGATGATCTGGGTACACTCTCAGCATCTTTGTAATGGGGTTATCAAAACCAAATCCTGACGTAAAGGCAGAGATAAGGAAGCTTTCTTCCAAACTTCAGCCTGAAGGAGAGGGATGCTGTGCTCACACACAGTCTGCATGGGTACTTATTGCCTCTTGTGGACAATAAGGTTTGGATATTTGGAAAAATTTATTCTCAGAGCAGTGAGGATCGGCACAGACTGCCCAGGGAAGTGGTGCACCATCATCCCTGGAGGTGTTCAGTGTGGAGATGTGGCACTAAGAGACATGGTTAGTGGGCATGGTGGGGATGGGTTGGGGTTGGATTACATGATCTTAGAGATCTTTTCCAGACTAATGATTCCATGATTCTAACTCTGTTCTGGAGGCTCTTAGATCCCCTCCTAAAGAGGCCACATAGCCATACAGCAGCCCATGCTCTCCTCCCTGAATTGCCTGCGATCTGAATAAAGCCAGCTGAGCTGCGCAAGCTTCATTGGACAGAATGTGGGGAAGGGAGGGAGAGGAAGGGAGGAATTAATGGGAAATGGCAGGTGGAGCCTCACAGATCCAACATCTTGCCAGAAAGTGGATGGGAATGAAACACAGCCATCAAACTGAGCAGGTCAGCCCTAGGAACGCCTAATCTCCTGCTTGAGAGATGCTGGGTGCTCCGTCTGCTTTTCACCACACCATAGCTCACCCTCTGGCCATGCTCCCATCTGCTGTAACGCTCTACGGCAGCGTCAGCGAGCACCCCGGTGCGTCATTTGTCAGCAGGAACTGTGAGCATTCGGAGTTACGATGACATTTCACATAAACAGCCGCTCGCTCGAGGTCTGGCAGCTGCTCGGCTGCAGTCTATTGGCAGAGCAGGGCCTTCAAATAGCTCCTGCTGCTCTCTGACCTCGGCGATCCGCCTCCCTGGGAATTATACTTTCCCTTGTATTCAGATCTGTTCTCCTCTTTTACAACTGCTCTCAGGGGAAATAGCTTCAAACATCTCCTTTTTGCGTCTGCAGAGAGTCACAGATGGGCTTTGCTGGGTGCTCCCCACTGCTTTTTGTGGATGAGTGCCCAGCACCGTGCCTGAGTGCTTCCCAAGCAATGCTCCCAACCCAACACCACTGGGGAAAGAAACTTGAATTCCCATTACCCACGTTGGTGCTCTGTTCCACTGGTCCTAGAAGAGAATGATAACACTTTATGCATCTTTTTAAAGCAAAAATCTGTGTTGTGTGGCTTCTTCAGTGGGGATCATACCAAGATCTTCTGTTCACGCTGCCTGTTTCTCCCCCACGTCCAGATCTGTGCTGAGCCACTGGAGACCCTGAAAGGAAACTCTTCTGCTGCCTTCATTCTAATTCTGCCCGCTGTAGAAGAGCCATGGATCCTGCCCTGCCTTGGATCCTGCCTCTTGGATGTGTCCTGCTCCTGGCAAATGCAGCCCACTGCTTTATTTTGCCCAACTCGAGTCACCTGGAGAGCATTTTGAGCAAATATCAGGATGGGGAAGCTCACTCCAGATCCAAGAGAGCCATTTTGTTTTCAGACCGACAGGAGATACTGATGCTCCACAATAAATTAAGAGGTCAAGTGTATCCATCAGCCTCCAATATGGAATACATGGTGAGTACAGCTTCTGATGCCTGGCTTTATTTCTACTTTTTTTTTTTTTGGTCATAGTGCAAGAGGTGCAGAATTTCCTCTGAAGCTAGCTTTTCTCGAGAGGTTTCCTGGTGCTGCTTCATTCCAGAGTGAGCGATGCTTTAGATCATTGGGTTGTTTTGCTTGGAACAGGCAGCAATAGGGTCATCTCGTCCATCCGCTGCATATTTTCGGGACTGGTTCCATTATTCATAAACTAACGTCTGGCCCGGCCCTGGACACATCTCCAGTGATGGCAATTCCACAGCTTGCCTCAGCAGGTTCTTCCATTACCTTAATGTCATAAAAGCATGATTTTTTCCCTACAATTTAACCCGTGTTTTCCCTGTTAGAGCTTTCATACTGTTGTGACTGGTGTTCTGGGATGGCACGTCCATGACACTGCTGGGGATCTGCTCAGCTCTCAGGACAGCAGTGCTTAAAGGATGTGGTCTTTAGGTCCTTTCCAACCCAATCCCTCTGATCATTTATTTCTGTGATTCCTATTTGTCTCCATCTGCAGAGCTCAGTCCCTGGAAGTTGCTGGCACGGCTCTGGGGAGTTGAGAGGTGGATGGGTCAGCACTATTGGCTTTCTGTAGCTCAAGAAACCAAAATAAAAGTTTGGTCAATGGATTCTCCCACTTCAGAGGGAGAACTTAGAAGTATTGGTATGAAACATGCCTTTACCGTCAACAATTCAGATGAATAGTTTTTTCTCACCTGATGCCAGAGACCCTACTTTGAGCTATTTTAGACAAGCCCTCCAAATACTGTGGGGCCAGAAAATGATGTAGGCAAATAATTTTCTTTTTTTGTGTGCGCCTTTTCCCAATGTGCAAATATAGTTATGACTGAAGCTAGCCTGACTTCAGCCATATGCTCCTGCTGACAGATTGGATGAGTAATGATTTGTTAAGACCGCGTTTAAAAGGGTAGGAGAAATAGCACTTGTAATGTGAAGTCTCTTGCCAGCTGCACTGAAATGAATACTGCAAATGGAAAATTCTCCCTGTAGTGACTATAGGGAAAAGGAAAAGAGAAGAGCGAGCAGAGGGCAATAGGGAAGGATGATTGCTCTTCAGTGGCTTCTCCTGAGCAGTTGCACCGCTGGTGCTCCATCCCATGTCAGAAATCACATGTCTTTCTAAGAACCGCTGCCTTGTGCCTCTCCTCCTCCGCAGGCGCCCATCCTCCAGCAGGCAGCCCAAAGGATGCTGCCAGAGAAGAGGTGATTTGATTAATTTCCAGAGAGTAAACATGAGGCATGAGAAAGCCAAGCGTGTTTTGGTTGGCTCGGAGGATCTGAGAGGGCTGCAGTTGCGGGCTGCACACTGGCCGACTGCTATTTACGCTCGCAGCGCGGTCGCGCTTTTATGTTTGTCTTTGCTCAGTGTGCTTTTCTAGTGGCTTCATGGCCGATTGAGGGCAAATGAAAGGGCCCTATATGCTGCGAAGAAAGAAGCTGGGTATACGGCGGTGCTCCTTGGAAAGGCTATAATCAGTCTTTCATGTCATCGTGTTTACCCAACGTTACTTGGAAATGCAGCGTGTATTCTGAATGTGAATTTCACTTTAATCCTTTGTTCTGCGTAGGACATTTCTCATTTGAACTTGTTTAAGAGGATGGTCTGTCTTTAGCACTGTATATAAACTTTTCTCTTTCCCTTTGGAGCCAGCGTGGAGCATCACAGGAGACATGCTGCTCTGATTTGTGGATAACGAAGTAGAACTGCCTGTCAGTCTCCAAACGCTGCTTTGTGAATGTCCCAGTTCTGTATCTGATGTATTTGAGTGACAAAGGAAGCTAATATAAACCAGGAACAAGATCTATTTTTCTACTGCCGAGTGAGCTTCAGTCAGAGGAGGCTATTAGTAAGGAAGCAATGCACAGTAACTCCCATGACTCACCCGGGGATCAAAAGAGTTACTGCATATGCAGATAGGATAAAGGTGGAATGGAGAAAGAAACAGTTTTGCTGCTGGGTTTGCATAGTCAATTTACAGCCAGCACATGTATTCAGCCTTGGTGGAAACTGAAATACAGACTTTGTCATGGGCCAGGCGTGAGCAGTGTTTATCTTCCCAGTACAGTTGCTCAAATCCTACAGCAGCTCTATGAGCAACTCTTCCATTGTGGCTTTGGAGTATGCAAGAGTGGTGTGCAGGAGCCAGGACCATAGCAAACTCCTTGTTAATGAAACCGGAGTAGAAACAACGCAACAGTTCCTAAGACACCCTGACCTTTTCAGATGGCTTTCAGCAGTGATGAAAGGCAGAAATCTTTCCTCTTGTGGAGGCCCAAAGACAGATGGTTAAAACAAAATTGTTCTCAGTACAGACTGCTGGAAGAAAAAGAGTTCTTTGTATACAGGGTATTCATTCTTCCTCTTAACAGTAGGGTAGAGGCTTTAAATTGCATTATAGGATTATTGCACTATAAGATACGGATGCAATGTATATATTTTACGCGTATGGTGCATACCAGATTTTGAAAGTCAGCTTCAGATCTGCAGGAATAAGGACAATCCATGTACTAAATCACTTGGATCTTGTGTACCGACAGGCTCTTAGAAACCCCTGCTTGAGAAGTCAGTAATGGGCTTGGTGGGTGTCTTCAAAACAAGGGAGCTGCTTGTGATCAGAGTGGTCTGATAGCAGAAAGCCTAAGTGGAAAAAGGGAAGAATTTGAATGCAACCTTGTTCCCCAAAAAGTGAGAAGCTGCTTTGCCAGATTGTTGCAGAAGGGGTATAAGAAACTGAGTGTAGAACACACAGTTCCTCTGGCTTTGGTGTTCTTCATAGATACTGCTTTGAATATTGGCAGAAAGAATTCCTGCAAGTGTAGCTGGAAAAGTCTGAAATCTTTTTATTATTATTATTATTTATTTTTTTTAATGTTTATTAAGCTCTGAAATTATTCCAGGCTCCCGACCGCATTCGCGTCTGAGAAGAAATAGGCAAATAACAGCTCTAATTTAAATGGGATGGCTTTGTAATCTGACGCCTGCAGAAATGAGCTTCCCTACTCACCAAGCACAAAGCCATGCAAAACTGCAGCTCCCTCCCGATTGCCTGTTGAGTGTCTTTTGTCTAACCTCATTTATTCTACTCATAGGCATCAAAGGAAGATGTAACATATGTTCACATCAATTTCCACTTAATAGCCTATTGCTCATAAAGTCTCTGCGTTAAATTAGGAGACTTGGAAGCCTCCGCCTTTGTGGCTGCAGGGAATAGGGCTCTGCTAGAAAGTCTGAAGTCCCAGCAGCGTGTAACGTCTTGGGAGAGTTTCTGTGGCTTGTGTGTTGGATGGGAAGGCGGACTGTGGCCGGCCATTGCCTGTTGCACAAAGTGGGAGACCACAAAAGGCTGTGTGTCTGGGCACAATTGCAATAGTCTGCTCTGAACAGAGGTTTGGAAATGTGGATGCGGTGGGTCGGATCTCATACACCTTCAAGGAGTTGGAGGGCTGAGATGGAAAATGGTTTCATTCCCACTGTCGGAGCTGTGTCCACACGGGGTTTTGCAGAATTTGCTTGGCCGCTGCTGAGTTCAAAGCCAAGCTGCTGAGCTCAGAGCAGCTCTGGATGTTGCTGGAATTCAGTTTGCTGAGGAGGCTTAATGATAAGCTCTTCTCAGAGGTTCTGTTAGCTTTGATCAGTGAGCTCAACTTTACCTTCTGAAGATGGTGTAGACACACCAAGCTCCAGGAGACAAACAATCTCCTATCATTCCCCATCCCAGTTGGAACTGCCCGAGACTGTGCTCGATGCTTGCTTAGTATAAGCACTCAATATTTTTCAAATGTTTGAGAACCTAAATGCCTTCCCAGTGGTTTCTGATAGCTCCTTTCATATGGCTGAGATGAGAAGTTGCTTTTCTTATGCAAGAAGGTGGAACTGGAAAGGATCAGCTGGTTGCAGCATCTGAAGGGGCTGTAATCTGGCCCTGGAGCTGAATGGTCTCTCTTCCTTTTGGTTTTATTTGTAGGAATGTGCAATGATATTTTAACCCCAACAAATTATTCTCCTAGGACTGCTTTGAATAGAGCAGCTGTCAGAGATCACACAATGAATTCAGAGCATTGTCTACCAGATCCAGCAAGTCTGGCCTCTAAAACAAATGCACTCCTGGATAATGAAGCCAAGGGAGACTGCTTTCGTATTTGCTGTTGGATAGCATCTGAGCTCTCGTTTGGCATGTAACTGGGTGATACTCAGTGACGTCTGAGGCCTTTTCCTCAGTGGGAGCTTCAGTGGGATTTGTCAGTTCTAACCTGATGTCAGTTTTAATGAGGGTGATCCTGGCTTAGGAGTTTGGGGATTTTGCCACCTCTGAGTTCAGCTGCATCCATCGGTTGGCTCAACAGTTACTAGGGGTGGAGGAGATAGGAGCAAGAGGTTCTGCCCCATACTGACACAGCAGTTATGTACTCATCCCTTGTTTAGGGATGTGGGCTGTGTCCGTAGTGGGGAGCAGGAGCACATTCACTGTTGGAGTCCCAGGGGGTGGAGAGCAAGGAAACGTCCCAGTGTTATGGCTAACAGATGGAAAATCATACACTGAGGCACTTTGTGCTGTAAATCTTGCGGGTGTCAAATATGGGTGCCATGAGGAAAACACTAGAATGTCCGATTATTTATTTCTGTATTTTTTGACTGGGTTAGAAAACCATGCGCCAAGAATGTCTCGCTGTATTTTAGGGTGGATTGTCTAGTTGAGTTCTTGAGGTCTTGCCAGAGCTATTTGTTACGTTGACTTATGCAGAGTACTTCCTAAGGAGCATGTCGTTGAGGAGGAAAAGTAAGAGGCCCCGTAGAGCCCTGTGCTTCTGTGGTAGGCAGCTGTCTTTAAAAACATGTTCTTAGGTATGAGTACATCACTGAAATGTGCTGACATCACAAGGCTGGGCACCAGGGATGAGCTGTACTTCAGTCTCGCTTTCCCTACTCATTGCTGCTGGTTGACTCTCTCAATCTAATGCTCTTAAGAGAATGAACTGACCTGTTCTTTTCCTTCCTGTAGACTTGGGACGATGAGCTGGAAAGATCAGCCCACGCCTGGGCTCAGCAGTGCATCTGGGACCATGGGCCCAGTGCCCTCATCAGATCCATTGGTCAGAACCTGGCAGTTCACTGGGGCAGGTAAGAGCTGGGAAATTCCTCGCTAATAGCCACTGCTGCTGGTTGAGAACTCATCTAAATCTTTCCATTTTTCTCTTGCTGTATTTTCTATAAATATTTGCTCAGCTCTTAATTTGTCTTTATTGAAATCACTTTGCACATTTATTTATTTTTTTCATCTTCCTGGGGAAGGTTTTGAATCTAGACTTGTTAATCTAGCTGGGAAAGATGAAGTTAAGACTTACAAAGGGATTTGCTTCCTCATCCTACAGCGAAATTTGCTTATTGTTACGCCCCTGTCATTAAGTCTTTATAGGCCAAGCCTACTTTGTAAAGCAAACATTTTGTATGTGCATGGAAACTTTAATGGATCATAAAGTTATGCTATTGTATATCAGGTACAACTTGGTTGAAAGTAATGGAAATTTGCTGGTGTGAAATTGGCCTGATATAAAAAATATCAGGCTCGTTTGTATTGGCAGAATTAAATAATGATTGGAAAGTTGAGTGGTTAATCCATTGGAAACAAAATCAAAAGATCAGACTGTTCTTGGCTGTCCTACAGAAGCTCAAGATTGCTATGGGTTATTGATGGTGGTAGATCCAATCTTGCTCCCACTGCAATCACTGGGAGGAAAAAGAAATCAGTTTTATCTCAGCGCTTTCAGGAACGGGCCTTAACTTGATTGCCTCAATTTCCTCTTTTGTAAAATAGAATTCGGAAAGTATTCACTTAATGACATGAGATTTGTGTTTTTAAAACACTTCTAATGAATGATTTTTAATGAAGAGTTGGCTGGAAGAGCAAACTACAGTTGGTAATGATATCATTTGTATTGCTGGCTGCCTGCTTCATGTGAGCTGATGAAAGCAATAAAAAGTGTTTGAAATGCTCTTCTCCTTCGAGACAGAATTTGCAGATTGCTCTGCTTGCTCACTGTGTACATAGCATACAAAATGCCAACGCATTTCTCCAGATAATTTTAACACCATTCACGTTCTCCTGAACAGCACAAGCAACATCAGTGCTGCCTCAGATTGCAAATCATTGTGCATAGTTTGCACCAAGTACATGCAGCACACGCAGGAGCTTGCTGCATGAAGAAATAGCTGCAATAAGGTGGGGAGCACGTGCAGAGCCCCAAGTGCTCTGCACTACCCTTTGGTTTGACGGGACGGGGAAAATCTTGCTTCCTGTCAAAGGTCTTATAGTAGGAACTGCTAGTGGACATCCAGATTTAGCAAATGGCCTGGTGGTGAAGTCGGTACATGGTGGCTTTCAGGTGAAGCTGTTTGGCAAACCTTCACTTCTGTTTACTTTCAAAACACAGCTCTCTGCCAAACGAGAAGTTTTATGTAGTTGGGTGGAAAAGGCAGGAGGACATCTCAGGTCAGCGGTGTTTGAAGGACATGTCAAACCTATAAATAATACAGAAAGTCAGACCGAGCTGTGAATTTTGGGGAAGAAATCATCTTTAACATTTTCACTGAGATGTTGTTTTTTTTTCCCCACGTTACTGAGTTTTTTAAGCAACACCTTCTCAATGAGACAAACTTGCCTTAAGAAACCGTAGTGTAAAATTCACAAAGCTTGTGTTAAAAACTGAGATGCTGCCTTGCAATAAGCCAGGAGTGCACAAGTGCTGTTGGATGACAAAGGGGCTGGTGATAACTTGAGGGGTGAGTGTTCTCAGCCATGCCTGTGCTTTGCTCCTCCAGGTATCGCTCTCCTGCTTTCCATGTCCAATCCTGGTATGATGAAGTCAAGGATTACTCGTACCCATACCCACATGAGTGCAACCCATGGTGCCCAGATAAATGCACAGGCCCCATGTGCACGCATTACACTCAGGTAAAAGAGATGCATTTGTATCCATACTCCACATCCCCTCTGCATCCTGTGTCACTGCAACACATGCCCGTGTCTCGCGGGTTCTCAATAAGCACGTTGTCCTTGCAGATAGTCTGGGCCACAACAAACAAGATTGGCTGTGCTGTGAACGTCTGCAAGCAGATGAATGTCTGGGGAGAGATCTGGGAGAACGCCGTCTACCTGGTCTGCAATTACTCGCCCAAGTAAGGCGGATGGGCTGGGCCCTGCTGCTTTCCCAGACCCTGTGCTGGAAGGTTACTTAACTAGCCCAGGATCTGGGGAAGAGATTTCAGGCAGTCTAGACTGGTGTTTGTGGCTTTAAATTTTTACTTTAGACTGCAGCACGGAGCTGGTTCAACATTGCTGAGCATTGCCTGGAAAAGTGAAGGAGGGGCTGGGGCCAGGCTGGAGCTTTGATGTTGCTGCCATGGCAAGGAGAGCAGGAGATGGCGAGGTTGGAGTGGAGCTTGCTGCCAGGCGAGGCTCAGCAGCTGGAAGGGATGGGGCTGATTAATGCTGCTGCCCGTCTTTCCAGCAGCGGCCTCTGTGCCCCAGCTACAGAAGGAATAGTAGGGTTGCTTACAGTTTAAAACTTACCAAAAAAAAAAAAAAAAGAATAGGGAAATTGCTGTGTGTGGCTCAGAGCCACTGGAAGTCATAAGGCAGAATGATGCTGAGATAAAAGGTGTGTGAGATAGGGCTAGCAGCCAAAGCCAGAGCTCGCAGCACAAGCCAGGCAGTGCCCGTGGGTGTGTTGCTGAAACCTCCTCCCCACGTTGGCTACTGATGCTGCTGGGCGGTTTGGGATTCAGCAACCTGCTCCTTGCATGGAATCCCACTGTCTCCTGCAGAATTCCCATTGCAAGTTGCGATGCGCTGCACGCCATCCTGCTGGATGGAAAAATACTCTCTTTCTGCCATTTTTGCTTAATCTCTTCTCTCTGGCATCTGTGTGCATTGTCCTCATCTAGCCTTATAGGTGGAGACGGCTGAAAGAGCAATAACCAAAAGGTTGAGAGGCACAGCCTGAGCTCCAGCTCCATTAACCTCCTCAGCCCCTAATGCTTGCAACAGTGAGGGCCAAGGAGGGCTTCTGTTATTGGGTACTTCCTTGAGAAAAAGCAGTAATCTGCTGAGCTACGTCTTCTTACTAAATCACAGTATTCACAGTGGAGTTTAAAGGTGATTTTTCACACTATTCATTAGAGGAAACTCCTAAAACCATCATCTTGAAGGTGAAATGAGGAAGACCGTTTTCCTCACAAGGCTTTGCTGGGCTGTTTGGTTGCTCTTTGTTCTTTTGCTCCAGACTGGGATGATGTTTCTGCAGCCTCAGAGGAAATATTATTTGCAGGGCCGGGCAAAAAGGAAGGTGCAGTGCTGCTCTGCTTCTCAGACTCGTGCAGTTGTGCAGGGGGTGAGGTGTGGATTTCTGCACCTTGCTCTTGGGGATGGTTCCAGATGGAAAATGGAGCAGCTCCTCAATGGCAAGAGTTGTGCTCCTGCCTGGCCTGTGCTGCTGCATGGGAGCTGCAGATATTGATGGGAGATTGGTATCTTGGACGGACAGGATTGCTGAAAGCAAGTGTTGGATGGAAAAGGGGACAAGCTGTCTTTTCCACACTTATCTATGCATGGAGAACAGAAACACCCATTTTCCCCGTGCCCTTAGTCTCAGTGGCTGAAGAATGTGGGGCTTGGAGGGCTATCTGATGAGCATGCATTGCTCCTGTGCTTGCAGAGGCAACTGGATTGGAGAAGCCCCATACAAGAACGGCCGCCCCTGCTCTGAGTGCCCCCCCAGCTACGGGGGTGGGTGCCAGAACAACCTCTGCTACAAAGGTACGTGGGGCTGGGGATCAGTGTGCTGTGCAGGGGCCAGCTTTCACCTGGAAACGTTTCATTAGGACCAGTCGTGGCTTTTAATTACCCACCTTCAATAACTAGGCATCGTGGTGTAATGGTAGATCATCAACTGAAAGGCTCTGATTTGTCCGGATTCAATGTGAAAATGTGAGCGATTGCAGGATGGAGGAGCTGCATGGGTTTGGCTTGGAGCTGGGGCAGGGCTTGGGGCTGGCAGGCTGTGGGCAGAAGCGCTCCCATCCTCACAGGGTTTGTTTGGGAAGGGAATGTTCCACCAGCGCTTACTGGAGGCGACGTGGGTGGGCAGGTCCTGGCCAGGGACGAGCGATTCCCTTTTCTATTTTATTTTTTTTTCCCTACTTTTTTTCCTCACTTTGGTTTTCACGGCTGCAAATCAAACACAGCGATTCGTGTCTCTGGGAGGAGAGGAGGAGCTCTGTTGGAATAGTGGTCGATAGACACGGAGTGAAAAATATTATTGCTGCTGGGAAATCTCCAGTGAAGCAGCACTGCTCTCAGAGCAAGTGGGATTTTTTGGGGTCATGCATCAGGGGCTTTTTTTTTTTTTTTTTTTTTTTTTTTCCCTTGCCATGTGTTTTCCTTCATGAAGAGCTGGGATTTTAGAAGCAGGCAGCTCCATGCTTGGGAGGCTTGCCCAAAGCAGAGGGTTATTTTGCTGCGTTCATTTCTTTCTACCTGGGGCTGGGGGTCATTGGGATTCAGATGGGAACTGGAGTGCATCATGTCAATGCTGTGTTGGGAGCCTTGTTATCTATTTCTTTGCATCATCCCCTTCCTCACTGATGAGAATGAAAACAGCATAAGGTTTTGCAGAGGAATGGCCAAGTGGAATGAATTCTTCTGGCTTCATTTCCCAAATCCTCTCGCTGGGCTGCAACAGCAGGCAGTCGGTTATGCAGTGGGAGGCTGTGAAAGATGGGGGCACTATGGGGGGGTGAGATCTGAGAGTGATGGAGGCACCGTGGACAACCGAGCTGGGACTCAGTGGGGGTCATGCAGGAGCTGTGCTTCACTGGAGGACTGGCTGAAGCTCCATTCTGATAGAGAAATCTGATTTCCCACTTGATGTGAACACTGCAATTATTTTTTATAATTTCTCCTTGCTAACAAGATTATCGTTACGAAGACCCCTACATCACCGAGACGGATGAGACCAACGAAGTGGAAACCCCACAGCTCGCAGAGCACAAGCCTGTGTGGTTCCATCCTCCAGAGAATGAGCCCAGCAAAACCATCAAGCCCAAGAAAACCACCTCCAGCTCCTACATGAGTAAGGCAGTCTCTTGCTTTTGTTCTTTCAGAAGTAAGCAGCAAAACATAGAAAAGCCACCTGCACATCAATGTGCAATACTCATCTGCTCTTGAAGGATCCCAGAACCACAGAATGGTTGGGTTGGAAGGGATCTCAAAGGCCATCCAGCTCCGACCCTTGGACGTGGGCTGGGTTGCCAACCACCAAATCAGATTGCACCTCAGATAGCATATAGCCCCATCCAACCCAGCCCTGAACACCTTCAGGGATGGAGCATCTAAAGAAAGTATTGATGTCTTCATATCAGTAGTCGATTTAGGAGTTTCATTCTTCATTTAGGTTTCATTCCTCATTTACAATTTTATGTATTCAGCATTTACCCTTTTTGCAGTTTTCTGGGGATTTTAGTTGGTTTCCTTTCTATTTCTTGCTTGTAAAGACTTTTTGTGACAGGGGTTGGAACCAGATGATCTTTGAGGTGCCTTCCAACCCAAGCCATTCTATGATTTCTGCAGTGATATGCTCTGTTGGTAGTACTTAGTCGTGTTCAGTTCATCAGACCAGTCATTCTGAAAACAAGGTGAGACAAGCAAATGCATCCTTTACAAGTTTACCCACCAGCATCTGGAGAGTCTGTAATTAAATGGAGAATGAAAAGTAGTGTCTGTAGAATTCAGGCTGTAAATCAGCCTTTGGCTGCCAAATGTTTCTTTGCTGTTAATACTCCCAAAAACACCTGTTTTAGGTAACTAGATCAAAAGGCACCAACAGCTCCGGGCTGTTAAGATTTAACCTTGCTACACCAAAGACTTCTTGGAAAGGTGCATGGTGCCCAAAGCAGGATGTGGTGGGCTCTTTCCTCTTATGACATAATGTTTTTAAGTTGTACTGTGTTTTTTGTTTGTTTGTTTGTTTTTAATTTAAATTTTTGTGTTTTTTTTTTTTTCCCCAGCACAAGTCATTACCTGTGAGACCAAGATGAGAGACAAATGCAGAGGCTCAACATGCAACAGGTAATGTCTTATTGATACCTATTGGAGCAGTGCAGGAAAAAATGGGCTAAAAATGTTGAGGTCCATGCAAACAAGACGTAGCCTATACTACATTTATTTTTGTAACTAAATAGATCTCTTTGAAAAAAGCCTTAATTTTTTTTTTTTTTTTTAAATATAAAGCCCTCAGCCAAGCCTAGCTGCAAAGTGACTCAGTTTTTTCTGCAGCCATCATGACCCACAGTTCCAGGTGTCCAAAATCATTTAATAAATGTTGGCAGAATCTCTTCTGAGCCTTTCTTGTGCGTTCCACTGCTGTCTAAGCCAGACCAATAATTCATGGCTCGTCCCCTCCCAGGCAGTTGAGAACTTCTGGTTAAGGTTTCTGCAAAGAACAGGACAGTTTATCACTTGGAGAAAAACCAAATCCACAGAATCTAAATATTGGTCGGGTTTTTTAAGGAGGGTGGAGAAACTGTTCTAAAAAGTAGTTATTTTGCAATCTTGTTTTTAAATGGAAGAGTTACGTGAAATGAATGGAATGACTATTAAATGAAATAGAATCAAAGTCTGTTTTTCTTGAATTGTTTTCTCGCCACCCTCAAAGATATATATCTTCACTAGGTATCTGTGCCCAGCTGGCTGCTTGTACAGTAAGGGAAAGATCTTTGGAACATTTTATTACGAGAGTGTAAGTACTTTTAAAAAAGCTTATAGATGTAATCTGTGGGAAGTTAGTGGTAATAACAGAAACGGGAAATGCCAATGATTTTGATGTAATTTGGCTTTTTGTATTTTCCGGTTGTGCTGCTATAATTTGGGTGTTAATAAAGACTATCTGTATTTTCCTCATCTTAGTGATGAAAAAAGAAGCTGTCTGGAAAGGCAAAGTGATTCCAGTCTTGATTCTGTCGTAAATGCCCTTAACAATAAAAGCCCTGGGAAGCGATGGATGGGGATCACTAGGAGGCTCTTCTAAGGGTCTCTTTTAGTGTGGTCAGTCTGAACAGAAACTTCACACTACAAACACTGAAACAATGAAATATTCTGGGTTGATTTGTTGGATCTTGAGCTGGCACTGTTTTCCCATCAAAACTACTTTTGGAGCAAAGGAAGGTTGTGAATATAAAAGGCTATTTATGCATTTTATGGTTGCTTTCCCCATTCTCGCAGTTGGGTTGTGACTACAAGTCATATTTTTGCCCTGCAACTTGTGTGATTGCAGATATCCTCCTCCTGCAAGTGGTTTTAGCAGAAATATCTTGAGTTTGAATGTTCTGTTGAGAAGTGGAAAAATTTCATACTGGTTGTGAATTTCCAGTGCTGCTTTTCTTCTAAATTATATCTAAGTGTACGGTTTTTTACTTAAAAATATTTTGTCATCCAACCAAGCTGTGCTTAAATAATAGTAATAATAGGAATAGATGAAGGTTGTGTTAGGAGAGTAAGATTTAACAACCAGATTCCAAAGAGTTGTATCAGGTTATTTTCTATTTGGCATTTGGTGATTTGTTTCTTCATGCTTTGCAGAGCAGTTGGTCAGTGCTGCTCTGTGAGTGAGATTTATTTCATATATTATTTGCTGTGCTCTTCTCAGTCATCAAGCATATGTCGGGCTGCAATTCACTATGGCATCTTGGACAACAAGGGAGGACTTGTTGATATTACAAGGAAGGGGAGGACGCCGGCCTTCGTGAAGTCTACCAGGAACGGTGTGGAATCTTTCAGGTTAGACCTCTGGGAACAAGTTTTTGTATTTGCTTTCAATACAAGCAAATGTTTTTTGTTACTCATATATATTCACAGTGATTCAAGTAAATTTATGTTGTGTATTTTTAATACTTTTCCCTGCTTGTTTTGCAGGAAAAATAAACCTTCCAATGCATTCATGGTTTCCAAAGTCGCAAGTAAGTGTGGAGTTTGTCAAGTTGAGAGGAAATTGTTGTTGCTGGAGTTTTATGAAGTGCTTGAAGATATCATTCATGCAGTTCTCTTCTTCATTTTAAGCGATCATGTGAAATGGCCCCATACCACAGCTAAACCCCAGAAGGGTGATGATCCATCACCCTTTATGGGCAATTCCACCGTTACATATTAAAAATTTCTGTAGGGATCTAAGAGGAAGGAAGGTGCAGAAAATGGTCATAACTGGCTATTTCCAACAGCATTTTCTGGTGATGGATCATGGTCAGATCCAAACATTAGCTGCAATGTGGTGAGATATTGGTAGTAATATGATAGAAGATAAGCCTTCCTTATAAGAAAGCCTGAGTCTAATATGTGAATTGTGTATAAAAAGTGGGGGAAAAAAAAAAAAAAAAGTATTTAATGTAATAAGTGTAAGGAAAGGCATAATGAATCACAAAATATGTATGAAATGGGTTAGTAGGTGTGACCCATCATAATTACAAAAATTTCTTATGATGAGTACATAAACAAATACAGTAGAGTTCTACTCTTTAAATGTCCCCAGGTTCTGTATATTTTTGAGTGAATCTCCCTCCTTCAAAGAATCATAATTTTGATTTGGCTACTAGGCCTAGTAATTTTACCTCTTTGTATTTATTTCCACAGCACAGACACTGGATTGCTACACCACAGTAGCTGAGCTGTGCCAGTTCAAAAAGCCTGCGACCCATTGCCCAAGGTAAGTGTGTGCTGTGAGCAAGCCTGTGTCCCATTGCAACCCACCCTGCTTGGGAGAAGGAGAGGTGGTAGGGGGAGCAGGGCTGCTGAGATCCCCAATCTGAGAGCCAACAGGAATGGAGGTTTTTGGCCAGATGAGTCAGGAAGGGTCTGGGAATTATAAGAACTCCACTTTGAAAATGCTGTGGAAGATGAATCCCTCTTTTACTCCTCAAATGCCCTCCATTTGAAGCTCTACACTACCTACCAAAAGTCATCTGAGGGGAGCCAATAATTAGATTCACTGTTGCCACCTGCAGACCAGATGCAGGCACTTGAAATCTCCTAAGAATGCAGCTTGCTTTCCTGTTGAGCCTGAATAAATCTGAATAAATTGTTTTCTAGGATTTATTGTCCAGCCCACTGTAAAGATGAGCCATCCTACTGGGCACCGGTTTTTGGCACAAACGTTTATGCAGATGTGAGTATGCTCCTTTCCTTGATGGCACTGTGTGATGTGATGTCTGAGGAGGGGTTACTCTGCAACAAAAGTTGTCGTGGTTATCACAGTGCGGGCTTGGGGTCAATGTGCATGAAGGAAGAAATGGCACCAGAAAAGCTTGGGGATCCCTTCCAGTGTTTGTCAATGACTTCTTCTGGGATTTGATGAGTCATTTAACCTCTCTGTGACTGGGGAGTGATGGATGTGAAATGGTGGTAGTGTTTGTCTTGTCTTGCTGAAGTGTTTAGAGACCTACAGATAAATACCATGGGGTATTATATCATATGGGCTTATATTATATACCCTACATACTCAGCCACGGTATGTTGTTGGCAAAAATAGTCCATCTTCCCCCTCCTGTCCTCTTTCTGGGAGCTGAACAGTGTTTTTGAGTAGTCAGAACACAGCACGGAGCAGTGGAAAGAAAGCATGCAAGTTGGTTTTATTGGTTTGTTTTTCTAAACTCTGATCATGGGGATGAGCAGAGACTTGATGCTAAAACTAGGCAGAGAGTCATTTTCTTGAAATCTCTTAATATTAGGCCTCTAAAAACTGGGTTTCAACATTTTTCCATCTGCGGGTGCCTCTTTTTTTTTTTTCTGCTTAAGATTGCCTTTGGAAATGCCAGCTCTCCCTGGCTGGTGTCTGGCCTCAGGAGCGTGCTTTGGGCTGATCGTGGGTCCCAGTGAGCTCCTACATTCCCTATGTGGGGTGAACGTGGAGCTGTGCACATTCCTGAGAACTACTTCCTATGGAAATCATACAATAATTAGGGGAAAATGTGTTTTTTTTTATTCTACTCAAGCTGCACAAACTGTTCTGCTCACATGGAAAACCATTGTACAGTTGTTGCCCTACCCCTCCTCGCATGCTCTGGCCTGCAGGAAATGGGAAATAGTTGTCTCTTTCTTTCACTACCTCAGATTACCCCTGAACAGGGCTTGCAATGACAGGGTTTTAGGTGAGGACCAGCATCCAGGCATTTCTTCCTGATCTGTGCTGACGCAAAAGGATTAGTGGCCTTCAATGAAGCCCAAGTTCCATTTCCTACCGTCCCCTTGGGGATTCATAAACTGGGTCATGGACCATGATAGGGGGATGTGTAAAAAAAAAAAAAACAACAGAGGAAGAGAAAGACTATTTGGTCCCTCCTTAGAGGGCTTGGTTAACCTTTTTTTTTTTTTTTTTTCTGGGCTCCTGTGCTAATAGTGTGCTGTGGGTATAAAGAGGAAAGGACTTTGGATTTCAGGTGAATGAGTAGAAACATGGAAAAAATAAGCCAGTAGGATAAAGGAGTTTGAGGATGGTGTAAAAAGTGTATTGCAAAAGGTGGGAGGTGTGGATACTGCTGAGTGCTCAGGCTGGAAAGCTATCCAGAGAAAGAAGCAGGGGGAATTTGGGCCGAGTCTTTTGCCACTGTGTGCAGGTATAGCAGGATGCTCTCCAGGCAGGGATGCTGTGAGTTTACCCCAGCCCTGGCTGAGATGTAATTAAAGCAGACAGTGAGCTGGGTGGGACAAGTGCTTGTCTCCAGGGCTGCAAATGTGCACATCTGGAGTGGCACCTTCATGGCCCTGGGGGAATTGTGCTCCAGTTGAGTCAAATTAAATGAGTTACCTAAAAGAAAACGATGTGTTTTGCACTGCCTCTGATCAGTGCTCTTCCAGGTGCTCTCTGGCCTCTTAGCATCCAGTGCCTGATCCAGTGGTTGGAAACACTGCCCATGGCAGGGGGGTTGGAACTGGATGACTTTTCAGTTCCCTTCCAAGCCACGCCATTCTATGACCATGCATGGTCAACCTCATGGTGAGGCTTCTGAGTTAGAAAACTGGGGGAGAAAGGACAGAAGTGTCTATCAGCATGAGGTTGTGCTGAAGAGCTGCCCAGTTCTAAGGAGATGCTGGAGCTGTGTGAACACCTAGGGAGCTTTATCAGGGCTATAAAAGAGCTTTTAATTTCTGCAAGACACTGTCGCTGGTCTGCCTGACTCTGGAGTGCAACATCTCCTCATCTCTGCACAGGAGCCCTATGGATCTGGGAGGGAAAACGGCTCTCTGCTCTTGAGATAAGGCCCTTTATCCACAACTCTGTGGCAATTAGCTGGATTGATGACTTACATAACAAAGGAGATGTTTATCACCCGTGCTAACCAAGCTGGGTGGCTAAACCCTCTTGAGATAGGAACTTAATGATTAAACCAGTCCCACTAATGAGGAAATTATGGGTGAAGGCACAGTCTCAGTCTCTTGCTAATGGCCCACTATAAAGAAGTATTGTCATTTTATGGTGGCTGCTTCAGAGTCCACTTCAGCGGGAAAAGCTCTCAGAGCATCCCAGGAGACCTGCATGGGTGTTGATGAAGATGTAAAGGGGGCCACGCCATGCAAAGCCATGCGTTGTCTGTGCTGTTGTCGTACTTCTGTCTTTGAGGGGAAAAACCTTTATTCTCGTAATGACTCATCTTCCAAAAGCTCTGTGTGCAATGCATCAAAGCAAAACTTGGACTGGGATGGAAAAGGACAGTGATCCAACAGAGTGATAAGAGGAGGATTTGGGAATGCAATAAAAAGCCTTCTGGTCAAAGCTTTGAGCAAGCAGCAGAACAGCAAGTCCTGGAAAAAAACAGAAGTACGTCGTTTAGGATATCTCCCAGTGGAGAGTGTTGCAAATTGATTCAGGACAGCTTAATTTTATGAGCCGATTTTAGATTTGCAGATTTCCCACTGCATACTTGGGCAAATTTGCAGCGTATCTTCTAAACAGAGTGTTCCCTTGCCCATTTATAGAAGTAAAATACCAAATTGGCACTCAAAACTCGGGGATCTGCCAGGAGATAGGCGATCCAAAGTGATAAATATATAGGGGACAAGGCAAACCTGCCATATATGGCTGCAAGAAGGAACGATCTGTATTGTACATAAGCGATGGGAAGGTTTGCCCTTGGCACTGGTTTTGTGGTAGTTCGGTTTTTAGCCATCAGAGAGTTTATGGAGTTGGGATTTTCACCTGCTGCAGTTCCCTGTGCAAAGCTGATTTTTGTTTGTCGTTGCTCCAGCTTGCTGTATGTAAATCCTTTAGAGAGTTGATAGCCAAGTTTTATACTATGCCTAAACCTCCTCTGCTTTTGCTCTGTTTCCTGGATGCTTTGGGAACTTAGTCATCTTTTGTTCATGTTTTGTATTCCTCCTACTCTTCTGACTCTGCACATTGAGGAGAGCAGTGTGATGGAGAAATCTTAATCTTTTCATCAGGGGTGTGTTAACATCCCCCTGAGCTCAGTGTAGCCTTGTGGGACAATGGTTTATCCAACTAGTGGGACACTGGGACACGGGGCTACACAACTAATGGGGCTATCCAGGTACCCAAAGCCTACGCGTCTGTGGGTGCAGCCATTCTGTTTTTCCTAGAAAGAAGAACACAAATTCTCTGGGATAATTTGAGGTCATTGAGCTTAATGCAGGAAGAGTGTCTACTTTTCAAGAGACCTGGTGAATAAGCTGTGCCAAGGTGGCTGGTCAATAGGAAAGAGGTCTCACCACTGTGGTTTCTCCGGTACAGACAAAAAAGTCACTGGCTGGAAATCTGCCCTTGAGTCAGCTTTGGCCCTGGACAGTGTCCCAGGCATAGCTTTGCTGCAGGAACAGCTGTTTGTCCTCTGCAGCAGTGCTGGATCTTCTTGCAGCCATTTCAATTCTGCATTTGAGACCTGGACCCACAAGATTTGGCCCATGACCATCCCTAAGAATGACAGAATTGTTTCATAGCTTTTTGGCTCCACTCTTTTCTTATTCTCCTCTTACACATGATATTAATGAGGAAGGTAAATCTCCAGATGTAAAACACAGATTTTTGTAAGTGAAAATGCTGGCATATATTTCAGAGCTCCAGTATCTGCAAAAGCGCAGTGCACGCAGGGGTCATTGCAGATGAAGAAGGTGGCTTTGTGGATGTGATGCCTGTAGAAAAGAAGAAAAGTTACGTCGGATCCTTAAAGAATGGAGTCCAGTCTGAGAGGTGGGACATTTTTCTTTGCACTTTTCTCTTATTCTCAATGGTGCGTTCGATTGTACGTTCAATTTTATGTCAAAGTCAGCAGATAACAGCCAGCAAAGCTGTTGGGGTGGAAACACGGCTTAGGAGCATCACTGTGAATTTCAAGATATTTCAAGCAAATAGAGCGTGTTGTCCTGCCCTCACCTTCCACAAGTGAAAGACTGCTCTCAGATCAGTGTGAAGGGTGTGAAATACTGTTAAGCAATTTTTTATTTAAGGATGCAACACTGTTTATACATCTTGCCATATCATTAAGATTCACTGTCGTAATTAGTCCAGCAGTTAGTATTGGACAATGCTTACGAGGTAAATTCTGAAGAAGAAAGTTTCCAAACCTGTTTATCTGAAAGATAAACATGGGTGTTTCTGCAGTGTTCAGCCTGGGTAGTGCTTTGATCTGCATTGAGCTCTGGTTTGTGGGACGTGTTAATTAATTTCCTTAATTCTCACCAAAAGCAGGATGACTAAATTAACACCTACAGAGATGATCAGGCAGGTTTTGAAGATGGATTTTCTACCCTTGTAATTTTTCAGAGCTTATTCTGGTCTAACCATGGTGTTTGGGTGAAAAATGTCAAATCAATGCCTCCAAAACTCTGCACCTCCATAGAGATCACAGCTATGTCACTGTAACTCTTTCAGTCCTTCCTCATTTTCTATTTCTGGTTCATTTTGTGATGCACTTTTTCACACATTGATGTGATGGTGCTGATTTCTCTGTCTTTGAAAACATAACTTCTGCCACTGCTGTGTGTTTTGCTCACTATTGGCGTGGTTCTGACTGCACTGTGTGGTTCCTTTTTTTATTAATCATAAGCAATCTGAACAAGTTTGATATTTTTATTCTAACAATGAATACCACAAAGTGCTGTGTAGCATCTCAGAAAAGAAAAGCCAAAGCAGAAAAGCTGAGACAGGAAAGCATTAGGCATAAGATATGAGTTTAGCTACCAAGATCAGCATTTTGATCATCAGATCTGCAGTCTGGCAGATTTGCTTTCAGTTTGCATTTACATCACAAAAACTACAGTTACTATGAATTTTCTTCCACCTTTGTCCTTCTTTTGCTTATCTTTTACACTAACAGAGAACTTCTTCCTTGCATGAAAAGCTCTGGCAAAACTAAGAATGGACTCTCCCTTTAGCAGTGACACATCATGTGAGCACCAGCTGCTGATTTGGGAGGTGAGGGAAACCAAAGATGCTCTAGCAGTAGGGATGAGTATGAAGATTTGGAAAGTGTTATTTCCAATCAGTGATAAGGAGCATCTCCATGCTGTGAAACCCACAGGATGGTAGAATCATTTCAAAGATCAAGGTGAGAACTTGGTACTTCAGGATGTAGGATATAAGATTTGGTAAAGATATGCATCCAAAAAGGTAGTGGACAGGTTTGCCTACTGGGCAAGATCTACTTCTGTACAAGGGAAGATCTTCTGAATCTTCACCCTTGTTAGTACACGCACTTTGCAGGAGGTAGGACATTTTGCCCTTCTGCTGGAACTGTGCAGCACAGCAGGGGCAAGAACACAAGCAAACCTTTGCTCCATCTATTGGGGGGCAACTCTGAAGATGGAAAATGAAAATACATATTGGTTGCCTCTCTGCTCCCACTGCTGGCACATGGAGATGGGCCAGATGAGTCTTGGGAACCTGCCAGCCTAATTGACTACTGCTTTTGGTGAAACATGTTTCTCTTTATGCACAAACCATAGGCATCGTAATGATCCCCAGATAAAAGCTAGCATTGTAAGAGAGCTGTTTGCTTCCCAGCCCATTTTGTGGGCATTTGAATGTAGGTTTTTTTGTGTTTTTTGTTTTTTTTTTTTTATTTTGTTGAAACCATAAGCCAGATGTGAACAGATAGATTTCTGCCTCTTCGTTCTCACCCTTTGTCTTTCTCCTGCCTGCGGCAGCTCCTACTGGGACTGAATCAGTGCATCTCAAAGAAATTCAGAGGTGACTGCAGGTCTTTTGCACCACACGTCCTGTAGTTACCATGCTATGTTTGGTTCATTGCGTTTTCTTTTCTTTTCTTTTTTTCCAGCTTGAGGAGTCCTTCAGATGGAAATGCTTTCCGAATTTTTGCTGTGAAGCAGTAAATTCCTAGGGAAGGTGCAAGTTTCTTCAGGAGAGCTCTCCATTGATCTCCAGAGACAGGAAAGCTCCTCTGATAGCATCAGCTCTGAACATACCCTCCTTGCCAATCTCTTTCAGGGAATTAGAAAAGAAAAAAAAAAAAAAAAAAGAAAAAGACAAAAAAAGAAAAAAAATGGACACCAGGTTCTGACTCAGCTGTTTGCATCTCATCGCACCGTTCAGCGTTGTATCTTTTTGTTTTGCATTTTTTTTTCCTCTAGGGGCATTCAGCAATGATAAACTGTTCTTACTTTCAATTTAAGAGAGAGGTGTGCTGCACAGAACTGCAGTGGCTCAATGTACAGCAGCCATAGGGATCTCGACCTGGCCCTGGATGCCTTTTTTGGAGTGTGAAGCGTCTTCTCCTGTGGACAGGATGACATACGGACTCAGAAGTGAGCAACTGTCCATGCGCTGGGCCTTCTGAAATGAGAAACTGTTTTAAAAGCTGCATCTTCTGGGGAGAGGTTGGGCTGCGATTGAGTAGATTGAGATTTGTTTATGTTTGGTGATTCATGTGCAAAAGAAGAGAGCATTTGGTATTTTCCTAATGAGGTGAGATGCATCGGTGCCGCCATGTTGGCTGCTGCGGTGTTGCACTTGGCCAAGTTGTATGGAGGGGGAGAGAATGTTTCTGTCGACCAGACGTCGGGGATTTCTGGGCACTGGAGTGGGACATGAGATGGTGGCAGAGATCCTTGCTGCAGAAAATGAGGCCACCCCATAATCGCAACAGCAGGTTTAGTGTTTGCTGGTCAAACATTTGCAGGTACTTTGCAAGTCTGGTAACTCATGAGAAGTCAGTGAACTGGGGCTCCTGTGCTGGCACATCTCATATTATATTACATGCCATTTACAATAAAATTTCAGTTAAATGCAGCGTATTTATACAGCAGTGCTGGTTGTTTTATCTGTAGTAGTAGAGTAGAGACAATGTTAATCTTATTTTTGCTAGGAATGATTGCATCCGTAGGAAGCATGTTCACTGTACCTTTGTGAAGCTCTTTGTTGTTGTGTGTGCAGTTCTGAGACTTGGAAGATATGACGTAAGTTGGGATGGATGAGTTTTTTTACACTGTTTTTGACAATGATAGATCCCACCTTTCAGTATAAATGCTGTACCCTTGAGCATTTAACATCCACGATGCTGTTCTGCAAAACCCATAGGTATTTTCATGACATTATTTAATGTTTTGTTAGCGATGTCTGAGCACGCATCCAAATGCATTTCAGGAGCCAAGAAAACAGCCTGGCCTGAGCTACTCTTTATGGCTAGAGAGTATTCTTTGCTTCACATAAGAAATTTACTTCAGGCTTGGTATAAACACAAGGCTGATTGTCTTTTGATGCACAAAATCCAGTAACCTCACTGTTCATGAGAAGGCAACATAAACTTTAGTTCTTCAGTCCTTGTAAACAGAGAGTCTCTCTGCTTGTTAACTTGATTGTAATATTGTATAACAAATTGGGAAATACTTCATGCTACTTGGCAGATGTCTCCTAGCCATTCTTAGGCTCAGGCTGTGTTCAGTTTAATCAAGGAAGATCTAAAAGCCATGTCTTCAAGCTGTTTCAAAACACAGACCAAAAATTAAGCACTTCTTAAATTGTGCAAATGCCGTGAAATCAGCGAGGAAATTACATTTATCACTTAATTTGTCTCTCTGTTGGGTTTCTCTGTGAAATCTGACCTTTTGCAAAATAAGAAGTTGTAACTGCTTTGTGTTGTCTCCGAACACAAAGGCTGCACAGCAGGCCTACCTTCGGAGAGATACAGAGAAATGACTTTCTTTCACCTTTGTTTCTACGGCATTGCCTTCCAAGGTGTACAGCTTTAGGTAGGAAGAAGTAATACTTGTATTTTCTCAGTAGGTAAAATGATGTTAAAAACAGCTGGAACATATCATAGAAAAACTGCTGATTGGAAGCATTTGAGATCTTGGCAGTGAGATAAGGCTTCCCTGTTCGTGCCCACTGTGATTAATTGTGCTGTATGCAGTCTAGCTCGAGCCCGTTAAATGCTGCAGCGTGAATCTATGGCCATCAAAGGCCAAATGGTAGCCACAGGGCCATTGACTGAAGTGGAAAGTGTAAGAGATGACATTAGGCATCCAGGGGCCTCCTTCCCACTGACTTCATGCAGATTGCAAGAGCACATAAAATGCCTCAAAACCAGTGTAGGATCCCACCTCTAATATGTTGTCCGTGACAATTGTGTATGCTGTAAAATAGTGGAAATAAATGTGAGGGCTCTTGAAGAAAAGCCTAGAGGATTAATGTAGAGCACATACAAGTCCAAATAGCTTGGGATGTATCTACCTGATGGAAAAAGAGAAAGGTAGGAATTATCATTCCAACAGAAATATCTTAAAATGCTTAATTCAAGTTAAAGTTGCATATTTTTATCTTCAGCCAACTGGTTTGGGTTTTTAGAAACTGGTCTTAATTTAAGTCTGTCTGTTTATTTTTGTATTTGTTGTACAAAAGAGAAATTGTGACTTTACTACGCAAATATTATTTGAGGTCCTGGGTGCTATTAATTTAAACATACCTCCACCAGAATTAGGTGCGATCAGGTCCTCCAAGACAGTAATGATATATCACTTGTAATCACGTGTGCTAACTATTCACCTATAGGTGGGACAGTACCAGTTTTTAGCCAAATATTTACTGATTTTACTTCTAATACCAAAACATTTCTTAGCCTAACATATTTCTATGCAGCTTAAAGACACAGCAGGTCTTTACATCTCCAGACACATTCCTCCTTAGACCCTAGCTCTGCAGATTGGTAAGCACATGCCAAGTAACGCACCTGGGTGCAGCCACGCTGAAGCATTTGTTTAAACTCATGGCAAAGCTGATGCTGTGTAGTTGTTCTAGTTAACCCAGCTGCCAGCATGCACTCAGGCCTGCTAGCTCCATTAACTTCTTCATTTTAAGTCATCGGCAGTCATTCAGCCAACAGTTGGTTGAAGAGCCTCCAATCGTGTACTTGGTCAGTTGTGCAGTCTATGTATTTAGGGCCAGTTCATAGAGTTGCTTTTTTTTTTTTCTATGAAAAATGATGTATTTTACTACTTCCTATGTATAAAAGTTTCTTGTAAATTTTTGTGTGCCTTTGCATGTTTTTCGAGGGGCTGTGTGTTTGTTTATAAACTATATATATTTTTTTCTAAATACAGAATTGTAAAATATCTGTTCGCTCCCTTCTCCCTTCCCCCCTTTTTCTTTTTATTTCTGAATTATTTGTGAAATAAAACCTCCCCCAAATGAATGCCACTCTTGTCATTAATGGTTGTATTGAGAAGACTGAGCCTGAGCTATTTGGGATTGCTGGGATCCTGGGAACTAGAGTTAGAATTCCAGGAGATGTTAGATTGAGATATTTGGAGGCTGTTCTGCAGACAAACAAATAAACCTTTAAAAGTCAATCTTTACCCTATCAGGAATAAGACGTATCCTTTTTCGCATCCTAGGAGTAAAGGAAATTGCATGTCTGTCTTTTGAATCCCTGTAATATACAAGTTGAAGTAAATGGAAGTGTTGGATAAGAGTGGTTAATGAAGTTATTCTGCAAAATAAGAATGAGATGAACTCTCTTCTTCCTGATCAGACTCTTAATAAATGAATTTTTTTTTTTTTTAAGGGAAAAGTATATAGATTTTTAAGATCTCCTCTGGAAATTTTCTCTGAGCTCGTCCGTGCCCACAGTCCCACAAATGAAACCAAGTTGTTTCATACTCATTCAATACTATCTTGGTTAAAAGAATAAGATGACAGGGAGGTTTATAACTCAGATTCCAAGCAACGAGCACCAGATGGCTTCTGACCAAAAAGGCAGGCTGAGCCACTGGAGGGAGTCCTGCTTGACATGAGGGCCATGAAAACAAATACTTTCTGTTACATATGGAATAAGATCAGCATAAAATACAGCAGTGTTTGCAGTAGTCCAGGGCTGGCCTGCTACAGGTAGAGCTGAACCAACTGTCAGCACTGCTGGGCTGGTGATTTCTGCAGAAGGAAAGTTGTAGAGATAATCTACAATTACAAACTGTCCATTTGGACTTGCTCATGCTCAGTTTCTGCTTGCTTTCTTGACTGCCTCTGTGGTGAAAATCTCTTATCTGAATCTCTTATGCTGGGAAAGATTAATAGTAAGCAGAAATAGGTATTAAAACTCATGATAATGCTTGGATTGCAGAGAGCATCTTGCTGATTATGATAGTTATTCCAATTCCAATTTGCTAGTGCTACAGAAAGCCCCACAATACTTTTTTTTTTGGTCAAAATTTAGCTTCTCATTTTCCTCTGGAGCAATGTATTAAAACTGAAGGCTGATATTTTCTGTGGATTGACACCTGACACTGTGATGCTCTTTCTGATTTTGCTAACTGTTGTCTCTTGTTTGAGCAGCATGCTTAATCCAGTGCTCATCCACCAAACAGTGGTGTGATTGGGAGTGCCATGTGGGAATGACAGTGCAGGCAGCTGTGTTCTCATTCCAAACATCAGGTGTGCAAGCCAGGTAAGTGAGCACTTGGAGCAGAAGAGGGAAAAATATATGTTTTCATTCAGTTGGCTGTAGGGTTCAGGTCCATGGTTTAATGGAGAAGTTGTAAAAGATGGAAGGCTGAATGTAAGTGATAGGAGAGGAAAAACCCCATTGATCCAAGAGAAGGTAGAGGTCGAAAGGAGACATGGCACTCCTGGTTTCCTATGTTGTACTTCTGATTTGGGGCTAAATGCTGCCTCAAAGTTTATTCCAAGGTGCAGAGGCTCTCCTGCTCCCCATTCTGGGAGAAACATCTTGTTACCTGCCTTCCTGCCTGTCCCTCCTCGTGCAGAGCTCATCAGAGGCTATGTATAGCATGGGCTTGGGATGGGTGTTCTTCCAAAAACCCAGAGACATTTATAGGATGGATGCAGGCAGTGTTTTCACAGCCATTTTGAAAATGACAGGGTTGGTTCTCATTTATACTAAGGACCTACTTTAAGGCACTTAGAAGACATTTATGCCACTTCAGGGTGTGGATAGAGCAACGTAAAGGAGTCTCAGTGTAAATAGAAACCTCCCTTATATCTTGTTGACAGTGGTTAAAATAGGGTTATGGAGTTAAATCAACAGACAAGGTCTCCCTTATGCAGCACTCTTCTCTGCAGTGTTTGCTTCCCACCATCAGTGCCATGGGAGCAGGCCAGTGCTATATGCAGCTTCCCCCTCATCCACTGTGTAGCCAAGCACTTCATAGTGCTATTAAGTGACAGACTGAATACAAGCTATTTATAGAGAGCTAAAAGTCAGGAGGCTCAGGTGGAATATTATAGCCAAAAACTGAAGGAGATGGGAGCACAGGCTTGTAACAAAAATTGAGTGCTTAAGAATGCCTTACTCATGAGTGCTGCTTCTCAGAGGCTCGGAGCTCCTCTGGTTTAGGGGCTGTGGGTGACCCCAAGAGAGGATGTGTCAATGCATACAGCACTGAGAAGTGCCTGGCAGAACCTCAGGTTTTTATTTCAGAAGCTGCTCTTTCAAGGCACATCCATCTTTTGCACATATGAAACAGAGCAAGCTAAGAAAACACCTTTTCTAGCTATGCCAATGAGCAAGAGAATCAGGTTTTTTTTTAATTTTTTCTTCGTTTTTTTCCTTATTTTTCTTCCCCTAAAAGCTGCCTTCCAAGGCAATTTTGAAAGTGAAACTTCTCTAAGCTGGGAGTGCCTGCCAGGAATTCCCCAGGAGCCATCCTTGAGCCCGACATGCCTCTGTGCTGAGCAAAGTAATCACTGCTCCTCGGCAACTAGGGAAAACACACACTGCAGGATGGTGCGAGCTGATCGACTCAGGCTGAGGAATGAGAGATGAGCCTATAAAAGGGAAAAACCTAGAGCGTTGGGCAGATAGCAGAGCTGTGGGCAGGTGATGATGTGCCTGTTGCCAGAAACAAATCATAAAAGCAGCCTAATTCTCTTTTCTACCAGCTTAGCAGGCTTGCAAGTAGGACAGAAGGGATAATGTCTAACCCAGATTGACTGGATGAAGTATACCATCTCACTTGACATGTTTGTAATCAAAATACGGTCCCGATGAATGCGAGGCGTCAGTAATTGTATGTCTGAAGAGTAATTTTCTGTGGCTTAGAGTTCGAATCTTTTTCATTTGATCTGTTTATGTCTATGGAGAGCGATCCTCTGTGGATGTGATTTCAGCCTGATTCTGAACAGTGTTTTCATTAATAATCTTTGTAGTAGAACAGAGATGACTGTGGTTATTAAATTTCTACTGGGTTGGAAAGCATGGTGCTGAGAAGGAGAGTGTGCTGAAGGATAAGGTTGGAAATCAGAGATCAGCCTGAGAGTTGGAGAAACAGTCTGCAGAAACTGCCCGATGCTCAGAGGATAGTAATACAAAGAATTATGAAAGATGGAGACCAAAAAGTAAGGCAGTAACTCAGCCCAACTGAGATAAATAATCACTAACAACGTCACACTACTGCCAAAGAAGCAGTTGTGTGAGATGTGCAAGGATGGATGGAGCCTGTAAGATGTGCGAGAATCCTTTTAGTTTAGCTTTGTTAAGTTCTCTAATGAACTATGATATCTACTGTAAAAAAAAAACAACAACAACAGACTGCAAGAAGTATGGGAGGATGCAAAGAAAGTGACCTGAGAGCTAAAAAAAAGCCCTAAGGATGGTGGAGAGCAAAGGAAAAGTGGAAGACTCTTGACAACTGTGAAAATACTACAGGAGGGGAAGAGGGCATTTGTTTTTCATGTCCAAAGGTCTTTTAGCAGAAATATGAGTCATTGGATCCTGAGGTGTGTTCCCCAAGGGACCCCTGGGCCTCTTCCTGCCAATTCAGAGGTAAAATACTGGTGGAAAAACCTAGAAAGACTGATTGGAAGTGCTGGCAAGTGTTAATTTAGGGCATCCATGTAGGGGTGTCACTGGGTGTAGAAATAAGTCCAAGTATTGGTTGTTGCAGAGGAGTTTAACTGCTAAAATGTGGTGGAGGGATCCAGTCCTGCCCCAGACATGTAGCACAGTCTGTGGACAAGGTTTTGATGGGAAGATGAAGACCGTGGATATTTTTCCCATCTTCAGAGTCATGAAACAATCCCAAGTGTCTGAGGGCATCTGGCCAGCTCAGCAGGCTGTGTTTGCCTTTCCAAATACACGAATGAAATTAAGCTGCCTTAAATCATGACAGCAAAACAGACGCACGAAGCTGAGGAGCTTACTGCTAGTCAAGAGATTCTCGGGGAACAGATTCTTTATCAGAAAAAGATGATTTTTTTTGAAATCCCAAACCCTCAATCGAGGTTTGGGTGCCAACCATTTTAACAAGAGCAATAAAATTACGAAAGCACTTGAGTTTTTATAAGGTCAACCCTCCGGTCTAGACGAAGACAAGGAGTTTAAAAGTCAACTCTAGTTAATATTGTGGGCAGCTCAGGATACAGCTCCAGAAAACTCACATGCTCCTTCTTCTTCAGGATAACTGCTAGATCAGGTCACATTCTGTTCCCTTGGCAGCTGGGGGTGGCACTTGCACAGAGTGGCCTGACTATGAGTCTTTGTTCAGGGAGATCCCTGCTTCCCCCTGGCAGTCTCATGCTGATGGAGAAGGAGCTTGTGTGAGGTCTCTGCTCTCTTATATAATCCGTGAATCAGATAAAATTAATGCCAAGTATCCAAAAAAGGGATTGTGTGTGCTCTCTTGCAGTGTGTTCCCGTAATCTCAACACAGCATTCGACTGACAGTTTTGCCAGTAAAAGAGAGGTTTTGCCTTTGCCTTGAGAATCCAGATTTAAAATTAGCTGCGTCTCAGCAGAGCCATTGGTAGAGATGCTGGCAGCCTCAGTACTCAGTGTCAGAGGTTTAGGGCCATAAAAGCACCCCATAACCCAGTTTGAACAGCAACCAGAAAAGTTTGTTCAGGGAGGACTCCCTGGTCGTTAACAACAGGAGTCTCCATTAACTCCTACATCGAGAAAACTGGCCAAACTTTATAAAAATACTTCTTAAAGTAAATGTTACTGAGTCACAGGTACTAAATATTAATAATTCATACACTGGGGATATTAGCAGGTATCTTGTGACACAGGCCTTTTATACATGCAGTATTACAGAACCGGGTATATGTTCCTCTTTTTTTTTTTTTTTAATTTATTTACTTATTTTGTTTATTTATTGCTTTGTGTGAGCCAAGCTTTCACATCTGAGATTCAGCCTTGGAGTTGTTCTGGGGTCCTGGGTCAGCAAAGCAGCTTGG